TTTGGAAAAGGCATGAATTTTGCCTTATTGAATGTTGTCTTGATGAGACGGGCACTAAACAAGGCTCAAGCAGTACAACAAAAGAAAAGTATCGACAGCCACAACTTCGGATGAAGTGTTCTGAGCTTGTGTTTTGAACTTCCATCCAATCCATAGCTATTTTAAAATCTCAAAATGGATAACATATAACAGTTTGTGTATCAGATCCATGGATATTTTAAACTTTTAATTCCCATATTTGAAGGACAGAAGCATGTAGTGTGCATGCTAACATTTTCTACTAAGCACTAAACACAGAGTACAACTGCGGCTGATGAGAATGTCATTAGTTTTGCAGGTTGTGAAATAAAATATTAGAAAAGTTAAAAATTTTGACCTGATGGTGGATGCTGATCACCAAAGTTATTGCAATTCATCCTGAGGAGAATATGAATGTCTGAACTTAATTTCATCACAATTAATCAAAAGAGACATTCAGTCTGGACCGACCAATATTGCCATCCCTAGAGCCTCGCTGCTAACATGGCCACAGAGAGAGAGTCGGACAGCCAGTTTGATATTCAAACAGTATATGAGCCACCTTTATGAAACATCCTATAGTGGATTGGATGAAAATGTGTAGACTGTCTCAAGCCTTAAGATCTTAACACTGTAAAAAAAATCTGAATCAAATTCCAGACACATATCAATGATTCAGTAATTACACAATTGTACCTACAAATAAATAATAATTAATTAATTAAAAAACCAATTGACAAGTGGTACAACTTTAATAATTTAGTTATTAGTTATTCTGCCACCTCTCTCTTTAAATGACAAGACAGTGACAGTAGGCATCGTCATTGAGCTCTAGTTCCCTGTGTATGCCACGTGTTGTGAACAGCTTGCCCTCCACTGTTTTTTTGTTTGCAGAGTGAAATTCCCACACCCTTTACCACAGCAAGGCCCACAAAAAGCCACAAAACTAGGCCCTCCTACAGCAGTTTTTTATAGCACCACTCCATAGAACTGAGAGCCGTTTTTTTTGTCATATTTCTGTAGCCAAAACTCTCTTGCTAAGATGTGGGAACCTAAATAAATGAGAGGCAGAGCATTTATCAGCTGTGATCTCCTCACAAGCTTGCAAGTTGCATTTTCACATATTGTTTATATTAGGCTACAGCAGAAGAGTGACACACACACACACACACATTAGCATAAAGGGTCAGAGCACTATCTCACCCCCGGAACATGATGTCTTTGATTGCTCCTTAGGGTACATGTTGTAAAACACTTAATGTCATGATCCCCTGGACACATCATAAAGCATCACACACACTTTCCTCCCATTGACCCCGTACCCGAGAGACCGGAGGCCTCCAATGAGTAAAATTAATGACTGTGTTTGGAGTTGGTACTCATGGAATTCCCATAACAGAAATAAACTAGTTTCGCAATTATGATGAATTATATATAGATTTATGGCTGGCACACACCTATATATAACTACAATAACATTGTTGAGCATAACTTTTCATAAATGCAAATATTACTGTAGAAATAAAAAGGCCTTGAATAATACATACCATTTCCACTCCAGCCAGCTGACAAAACAACACTCAAAATACAGTGTCGTGTTCCAGTAACATACAGGTCGTACGCCCTCCTTACTTCTTCATCTTGTTGACTGCAGTTCATACAGTCCTCCAGCAAAGAAAGATCCCGACAATACCTGCTGCACAGAGAGAAAGAGAGAGCGAGAGAGAGAGAGAGAGAGAGAGCGTGAAAGAGAGAGGGCAGTCCTGTTTTTAACTTTGGACCAGATGTTGAGCTACAGAGGGACATGACACCCCAAATCTGCTCTTATTAATATTCATATTCACCAACCAGTGAGAACAGGACCTGATTAGAATGGGAGCAGAAGTGTTGTTTTTACTGTTTGGTTAAGGGTCGTTATGTTTAGACTACAGCGTGCAGAAAAACGTTCTGGGGGACCTCGTTCTGTAGACTGATACCACTACAGGAGATCCTTCCTCCCATTGATCATCAGTCTATTCAACTGCTGGACAGGATTATTATCAAGCAAGACCTAAACTCAGTTTACTGTTTCTGTTCCTAGTGTATTCCTATCCTTGCAGTATGACTTTATTACGTAATTTATAATATAGTAAGACAGGGTGCATCTTTTGTACAGTTTGTAGTAATTAAGCTCAGTGTCTACATTTTTTTTCATGTCCTGCTTCCAACTCAATCAGCTTCCTGAGGGAGTTGATCATCTTGTTGAAAAAATCACACTTTAAAAATGTATGCCTTTCCCTGCTGCTGTCATTTCAGTGTTGGATCAATGCAGGTGGAAGCTGGAGAGAGGCAGTTGCAATCAGTGGGTCCTTCTGGTGAGCGCCACATCCAGCTCTACATATTGTATCAACTTCTTAAAAATAAAGACATAATTTATTAACTTCTTGTCATGTCACAGCATGGTAAACATATGTTTTGTACTATACGCTGTTGTTGGCAAAGGAAGGACGGGCAGTTGTTTTATCGCTGGTGGATGTTTCTCAGCATTCATTTTTGCAAAGCTCCTCCTGAAGCTGCACACTGAGGATACTGAACCTGACTGAGAGAGAAGGCTTTTCTTATTTCTCATTTTGTACCTCCTCGCCTCCTGGCACGCTGAGATCAATTTCCGGGTCAAAGGCTCGATGATCGAGGATCGAGGCGGTACAAATTAGGGAAATGAAAAAGGCCCAGAGCATGTGTAGGGAGGTGCTGCGCAGCGTGTGCATGAGCAGTGACTGACACATAGTCCTGGCTCTGACTGGTTGTGCTGTGGATTCTTGCAGTGGTAGGAGCACTAGGAGGAGCCAGAGGAACCATATTTTTTCACACATTACAGTTTCAACAAATTTTTTGGATGACAGTAGACCAGATGGCAAAGTTTGTGCTTTTTTCTACAAAAAATAAATAAAAGACTACATTTTACTTGTTTGTTTTCTCTATCATTTATTTAAACATTAGAATTATTTCTTCAGGTCTACAGGTGATGTAGAGCAATTTTTGTGAGATTTATAAAAAACCGTAAAAGTGAGTTCCAGGTTTTCAGGAACTGAAGTGGTCGACTACATGATGGTGTCACACTGCCACAAGCAGGGAGGTGACAGCTGGTGTTTTGTGTGGATGTGTTTGAGGTTATTTTGTCCCTTTTTGAGTGTGTGAGAGATGCTTGGTGGGTTTTTAGTTTTGTCTGTCGACGTGTGGCGTTCCTTTCTCTCCCTCTCCCTCGCCTTTCCACCCCTCTCCTTCTGGACGGAGCTGTGGGACGTGTCTCTGGGAGCTGGGCGTGCTCCTCCAGCTGCAGGCAATCGGCACTTCACACACCTGTCTCCTGTTATCATCTGGAATGGTTTATATACCCCACCAGATTATTAAGTCTTGTTGTAGGTAACGCTACAACTTTGTATCAGCTTTGACCCTGTTTACCCTGTGCCCTGTTTTAGTATCCTTTGGAGACGCTGCTCTGTCCTGGAGTCGCTCTGTCTCGAAGAACGCCTGACTGGAGATCTCCCCACCGCAGATGCTCTTCCCAGTCAGCCCTGTTACCTGCCCTGCCTGGCTTTTTTCTCATCTGCCTTGGGACCCATGCATCTAAAGAAGAAGTAGAAAAACAACATAAATTAAGGATGCAGTGTTTACAGTACTATTTCAATGCCCAAATATTGTTTGAAATACAGCATTTGCCAAATAACATGAGACATGTAGAGGCTTCTACATTAGGTGGCAGTACATGTACGCTATATACACTATATAGCCAAAATGTTAAGGACGCCTGCCGTTACATGCACATGTAGGTTAATGACATCCCATTCTTAATCCGTAGGGTTTAATATGGAGTTGGTCCACCCTTTGCAGCTATAACAGCGTCAACTCTTCTGGGAAGGCTGTCCAAAAAGTTTAGGAGTGTGTTCATGGGAATTTGTGACCGTTCTTCTTGAAGCGCATTTGTGAGGTCAGGCACAGATGATGGAGGACAATGCCTGGCTCACAGTCTCTGCTCTGTGATTTTATGTGGCCTACCACTTTGTGGCTGAGTTTCTGTTGTTCCCAATTGCTTCCACTATGTTATAATACCACTAACAGTTGAGCGTGGAATAGTTAGCAGTGAGGAAATTTAACAAATGGACTTAAACGCACAGGTGGCAACCTATCACTGTACCACGCTTGAATTCACTGAGGCCCTGAGAGCGACCCATTCTTTCACAAATGTTAGTAGAAGCAGTCTGCATGTCGAGGTGCTTGATTTTATACTGTTACAATGGAAGTGATTGAAACACCTGAATTCAATAATTCAGAGAGGTGTCTTAAAACTTTTGGTAATATAGTGTATGGAGTTCCTGTGACATAAGCATTAAGGTGGTGGATTAATATATTTCCTTAGATCATTTCACCATCTGCTGGTGGGTGCATTGAATTACATGCACAGTCCCACCGAAAGGCCAAGACTCAACTCATCTTGAAGATAATTCATCTTTTTGAGGTCCTGCTTTCCCTCCTCCACACTAATGCATCAACCACACTTGTGCCAGAGCATTAGGCTAAAGCTACATTACAATTCAGACCCGCCTTGCCTTGAGGGAATATGATACAGACCATTTATCTTTTTCATTTCTGAGTATTCATAATCCAGTGAATTAGTCAAGTGAAAAAAAAAGGTGTGGCTGGAGATCATCTCTTGATTAAAATCATACTGTGATAAACTTCTCATATTGTTATACATTGGCTTGTAAAAATCTAAATGGTAAACTTTACAAAAAGTACCAAAAACAGCAGCATGTTCTACTAAAAACTATTAACATCAACATCTGTAAAACACCCAATGGCATGAACACAAAACCACTCCCTTAGGTTTCTGGAATCTAAAATTTCCCAATCCACAATCTCTGTGTTCAAAGTTCTGTGTTTCTTTTCTTAAGATTTAAAATATGGTTTAATTAACATGTTCCACCACAAATTATGACAAAATATACAATTATGAAAGTCTTTTTATTGAAAATAGGTTTTATATATCACACTTTGATTTATCATCACTATCAGAAATAAAGTTAATTGCAGTGAATGACATCTCTTAGCAAAACAGGGCCTTGGAGTAGCTGTTTGAGAATAACAGACATGACAGATGTCTGCGGAGAACAGGTGTGTTGTTTATATTTTTAAAAGCAGACAAAAGGTGGAGGCATGTCTTCAGGAATGGCCTTAGATGATGACGCAGTCAGTGGAAAGTGAAGAGGCTGTAGTGTGACGCCTCCAGCTGGATCCTCTATTCAACACCTTTCATGAACTCCAGGAACTCTGCCAGAGAGAACGCACAAAGTCAATATATTTTATATATATATTTTAGGGCTGACCCCCAATAGTCGAAGATTCGATGCGCGGAGCCTGATTCGACTGTCAATCTCACAGTTGAAGCTTTGCAGTGGAACAAGGAATATGGGTGTGCTCAACGTCTGATTTTACATAGAACTAGCAGTTTTCTCCCAATAAGTTAATATACAGCCTATTACAATATACATTTCAAATTTTAATGCTGTAAATAAACATGTAAAAAGAATAAAACTTCCAATAAATGTTTTTAAAGTGCATGAATAAATCCAAAATTGTAACCCTAACCATGGGTCGTCAGTGCACATGTATAGACGTAGCGTGTGGTGGTGGAAGAGGAACACTTGCTGAAGAGACTGAGCTCCAGCTTCACTGGTGTTGTGCCGAGTTGTCCGCACCTCGCAGAACTTTTGAATAATTTATCACCGTTGATGAACCACACAAAGAATATTTTATGGTTTTTAAATAGCCGGCTACTTGAAATATACCCGCGAGGAACCGCAACGTGCATGTAGCTGTCGGCAGCACGGAATCCACGCAAAACTCTGAGTGAGAGAGAGAGAGAGAGAGAGAGAGAGAGAGAGATTAAAAAGCCTCTGTTTAGCTGGAAATTTACAGTGTAAGTTGAATGAATAGAGACTGCAGCTCTGCAGCTTCTTAAGAAGGAGAGCTACCGTGTGTAAACAGGTGTGAATGGGGACCATAATGGTGGCCACACAAAATATTGACACTTTTGGCCTTATTTGGACATTTAATCAAATATTCACAAAATGTGGGGGGTGTAGTCAAATTTGTGAGATATAAATACGTGCATGCATGCATATGCAGATATGCATACATGGGAACATGCAAGGTCGGAGGGGGGAGGACGAATATGTGGCATATGTAAGTATATTTTGGTGAAACAGTGAAAGTGAAAAGAGACAGTGCTGTTTTATGGTAACCCTCATGAAGTTATGAAGGTTATGAGTGCTTTCTAAGATTGTACCACAAGTCTGCAGGATCACTGCAGTGATTTAAGATGTTAAGGAAGGATAGGGTGTGAGTCGTGCGGTACAGCAAAATAGCTATTAATTAAACAATATTTAAAATTATTTTAGTTGCCTACTACTTTTAAATCTAAAGAGCGAGATATATCTTTCTCAGGAGTTGGTGGTGACCAACAACAGAGCAAAACGATTGTTACTTATGTTGTTTGTTTATCTTTATGTTTTTTTCTGACAGGGGCCGCAAGAAAATGCGCATAGGTTTTGTTTTGGAAGTTGATGACAAACAATGCATTATGTTGTTTATGCTGCAGCACTTGTTTGCTGCAAACTTTCAAATGCAAATGCAATATTGGAAACATTGTTTTCAGGACACACAGTTGGTGTATATTGTTTACTGTAGGCCATTACAACTAATGGGCTGGCTCCCGTACCGTCATAATCAATTTTGCCATCATTGTTTTTGTCTCCATCCTTCATCAGCTCCTCAATGTCGTCTTCTGTGATGGCCTCTCCAGTGGACTCCAGCATGGCCTTCAGCTCTTCTAAGTCTATGTAGCCATCTCCATTCCTCAACACAAGATATAGAAATCAGTCTTATACTCATCTGGAATGTCTGCTGAGTTGAACCCTTTTACTGTGCCAAACCACAAGTTTGAATTGGCTCTGTGCAGTGTGGGTACAGAAATACAAAGAAAAACCTACTTGTCAAACATGCGGAACAGTTCAGCCAACTCTTCTTCTGATTTTCCTTTGCTCTCCTCCTTCATGCAGCGGACCATCATAACCAAGAATTCATCAAAATCTACTGTGCCACTGCCTGTGAACATACACCATGATATTATAAAGACTTCATATCTCTATATCATATTTGAACTTTTTAAATCCAATTTTCCCCTTAAATTTACACTCAAGTTGCTTTAGAGTAGTTCAAATCCTTATATTCCACTCCTTGAAACAAACATGCTCCTGGTCTCTATACAGTGATGTGACAGTCTTAATAATGTTGACATACCATCCTCATCCACCTCATCAATCATCTCCTGTAACTCTTCAGGGGTGGGATTCTGTCCCAGCATTCTCATCACCTTCCCCAACTCTTTAGTGCTGATGCAGCCGTCCTCTGCATCCTGGATGAAGATGTCAAACGCCGCCTTGAACTCTAAAAGGGACACAGCGACTGTTACTGTCTGACAAACACAACTACAAACAAAGAAATCCAAAAATGTCTAAAATGTAACACCAAGATGGATTGCACACAAACATTTAGAAATACAGCATAACAACCATCACAAGACCATTTACAAGCAGGGCCAGTCCAAAACCCTACACAACATTAATTAATTCCGCACGCTTTGTTATACAGGTCTGTAATTCCCTTATAATGTCCTTGGAAGTTTCACGGAAAGGACTATTTAGCTATTTAGCTGACGCTTTTATCCAAAGCGACTTACAATTGCTATACATGTCAGAGGTCTGGAGCAACGAGGGTTAAGTGTCTTGCTCAGGGACACAATGGTGGATGGGTCACAGTGGGAATCGAACCCAGGTCTCTCAAAGGCAAGCATCTTATCTATCTATCACCATCACTATAATTTAGTTCTCATTACAGGGAGAGTAGGAATTGGAGTTTTTTATAGAAAGAAAAAACAGCTCCTACAACCCAAGTAAATTTTCATTATTAATTTACAATTGGAAACTTTATACTGCATGTTGAATTGTTTGCTTGCCTGACATGTTCAGCCAACCTGCTGTGACAAACTAGAAGACTCTCCATGTTAATTTAGCAATTATTTAAAATAATTAAGTGGTGGTATATATATTTTCCTGTATTTCTTTTCAGGAGATGTATTTGCAAATGGCACACTTGTTAAATAAACAAATAAATAAAATACAATTAAAAAATGAGGTAATCATGTCAATTGCAGAATAGAAGATGGAACTTTAAGCCTGTACTGTTGAAAGCAAAACCAATTTTGTTCAGATAGTCCTGGAAACTAAGAAGCTGTAAGACCTAAACTCAAGAACTGAATAAGGAAAAAAAGAAAAATAGTTTGTGTTTTAGTCCCTTAAACCTGAATTCTATTGAAAGGCCAGCAGAGGGCGACTCTTCTGTTTGCAGAAAGAAATAATGGTAAAATTACCCTACTTCTCATCTGATTCATTACCTCAGTAAACACTTTCCTAAAGAGTTTATGGTTTCAATCACTAGTTTCAAGTCTTCTTCAGTACAACATGATATTCATTTAGTAAATTATGGTCCCATTTAGAGGAAAATAGACCAGAAAGCAGAGTATACTTAAGTGCGGGATTATCTGTGATTAACAAGTCATTATCATGGTGACCTGTCAATCAGGCTAGAATGACTCGTACCCATGGAACTGCGTAAATTTAAACACACCAACGGGTAAGGTCACAATGACTACGTCCACTTCTTAAATACAGTTTATGGTTTTATCCCTACCTGAAGAACCATTAAGATTAGTTATTTTGACCACTAATGGAATAGAAATGGCAGCTTTGTTTGGGACACAACTTTGCAAATGACAAAAAAACATCACATTATTGTAGTGTTCCTTGTTCTTTACTGCTGCAGATTGTTAAGTTAAAATGCAGACTGGGATCAGTAGTGACAATCTGTGAGTGTTTTATCCTTATGTATTTCAGCCTTAGTAGATAACCATGTTGAAGTTTTATTTCTACCGTTCACTAGGTTGTTCTCTCTCAGTCGAACTATCTCCATCATTAGCTCTCTCATCTGCAAGCTGTTTCTCTTTATCTAAGACTAGATATATTTAATGTCAATAAAGAACAAGAGATATCCATCCCACCTCCTGCAATTAATGTTAGTAACACTCAGTGTTGCAGCGCAGGGACCCTTAATGACCCAGGAACCAAATTTTGTGCCTGGTTCCTTCATTTGAAATGTAAATATGGTAAATAAACGTTAATAAAAAGGTTCCTGGAAAAGAGATTCTTCCCTTTCCTCTTAGAAGGCTCAGTGCCAAGGCCATGGAAGGGACATCATGGATGTATGACAGCTGGTGATAAATGTCTGACTGATGTAATCTTTTAAAAGGAGTGGCACACTGACAGCCTTAATCATGTATCCAATTTAGTAAATGTGCTTGACACAACAATCTATAAAGGACGTGTATATTGTATTTTTAAAAAAACTCTTTTTCATTGTTTCTGTAAAGACTTTTCATTTACATAGTATTGTTAGCAGTAATAGCATTAGTAGTTTCCTTACCATTTTTCTGCTCCTCTGTCAAGTTCTCAACCTAAAGGGAAACAAAATCGGCATGAATATTGTGTGTATATCACTATATCACTTTCTCAGTGGCTCACTTCTTTTTTAGTTGGAGTACAACTTCAGCTCACAACTATCATGAACCTCCTGTCTGTGCTGCTCTCAGTGCAGTATGACTGCAATGTCACACTGCTTTCTTCACTTACTATTCTTGTTGTGTGACAGAGCACAATACATGTGTGTGTGTGTGTGTGTGTGTGTGTGTGTGTGTGTGTGTGTGTGTGTGGGGCCATCAGCTGTCCCATCTCTTCTTCTGAAATGTCCAACTGTTCATTGTTCTATTGTCGGGCACAGACATATGAACTTAAGACAGCAGGGCTCTGTCTGGGCTTATTACACCTATTGTTTCACTGACATACAAGCTGAAGGAACACACAAAGACTCTTATATTGTCAAACTTACTAATTACATTTTTTACAAAAAAAATAAACATTAAGAAAGTGTTCATCACAAGAAGATACACTGTAAACAGCCACAGGCAGGACTGCACTACTGCATACTCATGTCATGAAACCATTCATTTAAATTATTTCCGTTACTTATTTTATTTTGTAATTATTCTGTTCTCACTCATTTCCACTCTCATGATGTAAAAATGTGCTGGAGAAATTGGGATTTTTTGCTGAAAGTAGTCTATTTCTATTTCAAATCAAATTATAAAAAAAAAAAAATGGAATAGTCCTACAAAAAAACAACCACCAAGCATACGTTTTTATATGGAAACAAGGCAAGACTGTAAACCCCCCAGGCTGTGAAGTACCAAGGACATGACCTCAGCGTCCTCAACAGTAGCTACAGCTATGACAAATGTAGAAATTCAAATCAATTCCACAGCTGTCACAACAGCTTCTAAACTTTATCAAATAAATGCCTGCCAGCAGAGACCTCCAGTATCATTCCATGCAACAGTGTGTGTTTGTTGTATGTTTCTATATTTTTTTGTAGAAGCATAACACACAAGGACAGAATCTGCGCCAGGATATTCTGATTATTACATATATTTGTTGTCATCACCTCAGAGTGAATTATTATCAGATGGAGAAATAAAACATCATACTGTACTTGGCCTTACTCACCGCTGCTTTGTATACGTCATCCATGGCTGCTGGTCCGTCCCTGCCTCTGACACACCACTGCACTCACTGCTGCACTCAGACACAGGACAAATACTGCCGGCAATAACTGCCTCTGTCTTTATTGTTGGAGGAGTGTGGCACTAAAAAAGCTCTCAACCCATCCCGTGAAATCCAAGGGTGATAGAGGGAGGAGTGACATAGGGGGAGATAAAGAGAGCACAATCTATAAATAGGAAACAAGGGAAGCCATGCAACAATAGTAATACTGACAGCAGCACCTAAGTGGAGATGCTCGCTTTGGGGTTACTAGCTTTCTATGACATGTTGTCCCACAGTGTCGGAAATCAAGTGTTTATACCTGTTCCATAAATCCACACTGGAGAGTGGAGTGAAAAGCTGGATGTCAGAGACTGTGGGAGATTCTATATTGTTACATCCTGGAAGACATTGAAAGTTGCACTCGGTTGTTCGCAAAAATAGTGACAGAAATAGTGGTGTGTCAAGAATAAAAAAAAGAGGGAGACGTTCAAACCTGGCTCCTTCGCACCTTCACACAGCTGACCAATCACAGCGTCCAATCAAAATTAGAAAGGTGTGTGTGGGGTGGTGGTGGGGTGGGGTTCCAAAGCTGTTCGACCATCTGACAAGCACTTCTGAAGAAGCATACTGGCAGCCTTACTGCACTCTCAGAGTGCCACACAGAGACAGCCAAGTGAACTATGTTTATTTAAAGCTAGCTGGTACAATGACCATAGCTAGCCTTAGATACAGCTAAATTGAACTTCTTTTTCCAACCTGTCTCCTGTAATAATAAAAAAAAAAACATTAGTAATTCAGGCTGTTATGCCACATAAATAACAAGGCAGTAAAATGCAGTAGTGATGAAGAAAAAACAAAGCAACACCAGTTAATCATACTCATCATAAAAGCTTTCTGTCTTAGCAGTACAACTGCCTTGGCAGTACAGCTGCTGTCTGTAGGGGATATCATGAGATTTTTTGTGGCTTGGTTAACTTTTAAATCCCACATTTAAGTTCAGTAATTGAAACTGACAAAAAGATAGTAGACACATTTTGTTGGCAGATACTAAACTTCCATGCACACTCTGGTAAGATTGTCCAAAAGTATAGTGCAGTATCTACATTTTCTACGCAACATTGGTTTGGGGTTAAATTAAGTTTACATAATCTATCCATTTGTTACACTGTTGTATGAATATATTGTAAATGTGTGTGGCAATGTCTCATATGGATGAACGTACAGTATAGCCTGAACGACAATGGGGTGGGATTTTGATGCCGATAGCAGTCTCTGTATTTTTTATTTTAAAAAAAGCTACATTTTATCTGCCATATTAGCTTTTTAAACATAATCGAATAAACATTAAAATTATTAAAGAATTGTGACCCAGATACAGTATGTGTACTGAGTATGTGTAAAAATCAATTTGTCAGTGCTCTACTCACCATATAATGGCAAAACTGTTTTTAAAACCTTTCTAAACTGATGTTTATTTTCACTTCAAACATATACCAAAACCGATAGATCTGCAATAAGCTAATATCAGCCTAAATCTATTCATCAGTCAGGCTAAATGTTGCACAAAGGGCAAAGTGGAGGATCTGTGGAGTCCTGTCAGCAAATGCAATGGAGAGAATGCTTGTTAGGTCACTCATATCCATTTCACCATAAACACGTACGCTCTCCATATTCGAACATTTTGAAGGGCAGCCACTCTAGTCAGAGAGAAGGAAATGTAATGTTTAGTTTTCACAACTACACACAATATAATCTTCCTTATTTTCTATGCACTGAGTATAGAGTGGAGTCACACGTCTGCATGACAATAGACACACAAATAGTGCTATTTTGAATGTGTGACCTTGACTAGAAATAGTAGTCCTCTACCAGTGGGGAGGGTGAGAGTGGGACTACGGTAATAAATCTTTGTTGTAAGGCTTATACTATGCAGGACAGGCAGATAGCACCTATCAATGTGCAGCAGCTGTAGAGTAAGCTCAGAGGTCAGTAGTCAAGCTTGACTTTAGACTTGGTCTCTATGGCTGAACTGTAATCATTTTGCTAATCTATTGTCAAAATGAATTGACAAATACAACAGCAAAGTGTAGCTTCACAGATTATCACACTGCTCAAAGTCATGAGAGCGCTACAAAGTAGCATCAATAAACACTGGCCCACAACTTAAGTCAAACAATTGATTGTACTTTGTCAAGTCTTTAAAGCTCACCAGAGATTTATCTTTATGAAAATTGTACTCTTCAGTTGATATAACTAATTGATTGATGTAACCTATTTAAATGTATTCTGTTTACACTCCTCAACTGCCTGAAAATGTCATGTAAACTTATATTTATCAAATATTGTACCCAAATCTGTCAAAATCTGTGTTAGTGAGCACTTCTCCTTTGTCGAGATAATCCATCCACCTCACAGGTGTGGCATATCAAGATGCTGATCAGACAGCATGGGTATTGCACAGGTGTGCCTTAAGCTGGCCGCAATAAAAGGCCACTCAAAAATGTGCAGTTCTATCACACAGCACAATGCCACAGAAGTGGCAAGTTTTGGTGGAGCGTGGAATTGGCATGCTGACTGCAGGAAAGTCCTCCAGAGATCACCAATACAGATTTAGACAGATTTGTGAACAGTGTTTGAGAGAAAAGGCCTTTTGTGTACATAGAGAAAGTCTTAGATCTTTGAGTTCAGCTCATGATGAATCGGGGCAAAAACAAAAGTGTTGCGTTTATAATTTTGTTCAGTGTATAATTGTATGTGCAAGAAGGTGGTTCTGGTGCTGGTACTTGTGCCAGGCTGTGCAGGCTCCTCTTCCTCCTCACATGCCTGGCCACAAGTACAGGCTCCAGCTCCGGGAGATGATGAGCCTCCACCATTGGAGGCCACATCAGCCATAGGCTCAGGCCTTCTCACAATGATGAGTCCATAAGAACTGGGGGCTCAATAGAGGGACGCTCTCTCACCTGTCAGTAAAGAGCAGTCCACACGCTATGAAACCCATTTCACTTGCATAACATGCAGAACAGAGACCATGGTCTTTTAGTATTCACGCTAGGGCTCGACGATTAATTGAAAAGTATTCGAAACCAAAATTCAGAGCCTCTAACCGATGTAATTTTACAATGTCGGTTTTTTCGGTTTTTGAATCCTGTTACTGTTTCCCCAGTGTGAGTGTTCACTTTCCCCTTAAAAACCAACACATTCTCACTCCTGACTCATCACATATTGATGCTTGGTCAAGGCCCTTTGGTGTTGCTTTTTAACGCCCTGGCCATTTTGAAACAGCACATTATATAAGTCATGAAACAATGCAATTTGGTGAGGTTTAGGCACAAAAAGTACTTGGTTAGGTTTAGTCAACAAAACTACCTGGATCATGGTTTGGGTTAAAATAACTATATGTTTGCCAGTTAACACATAAGTTAACTAACGTCACTTCCATAACTTACGCAATTTATGTAACTCGCTTAACTTAAATAAAAATATTTAATGTTGACTTTTTGTTTCACACAGGACACGAACACCGGTCTCCTAGTTCAAAGTCCGGGTTCTGGCCGTCCATCTACCCCAACCACCTCCTTACTCAACCTTTTGTGTTAAATATCATACCTACCTTTACCATCAAAAACTGATGCTACAGGGATCCCCAGTGCGTTACAAACTGACGCCGATGGGTGTTGACCCTGACTCCAAATGTGACAAGACGGGGAGTGAGAATGGGTTGAAACACCACGTGTGTAGTCACGTAACTTCGCACTGTCCAGTCCTGCTCAGCTTCCAGACCGTAACCATCTTCACTTTCCTTTCCAGAAGATCTAAACAGCCATCCATTAAAATAATTTTTCACTTTGTTTTGCCGGAGACAAAAAACAGACTGTGACCTACACTGTACATTTACAGCTTTCACCATCACTTTCTAACACTCTGCTCTCTCACATTTGCGTGTGCACACACACACAGTCGGTAGATGAGACTTTGGAGTTTGATGCCCTTCCTCCCTCTCTCACTCCCTCTGCATCTCCATGCAGCAATGCAGCAAACATCACACACACACACAGACTGGCAGACAGACAGAAGTTATGTTTTTCTTGGCTTGTGTGGAGGTGAGTGGTGATGAAGGAAGACTAAGCTACCAGTGCCTCCAGTTTACAGCTAATTAGCCAAAAGACAAATATTTAACTTGTGTCTTACTACAATGCATGACTCATGAGCTATTAGCTAATGCAATAAGTTAGCTAAAGTTTAGCTAAGGCAATATATCATGGCCATACAGGCTAATGTGCTATACTTAATGCAGAAACTGCATGTGAATACTGTAAAATGTGTGTCTAATAACGTCATCACAATCGCCACATTAATATGTAAATTAGGCTTTACCTTATTAAAATGTACTAATTTGCATATATTTGGCAAGGCAATTCTGGTGAATGGGATTAACAAAATAACTAAAATCACCACAGAACTTCCCAATTTAATGACTTAATTCAATGGTCTTTTACCCTGAAATGATATCTTTACAGTAAATATGCAGATTAGCTTGTTTTTGTTAATTTATGGCCACTGCCTTTAAACCAATCAAATGAACGTTGACTATGTCACTAGCCAATCAGGCGCAACTTTCAGTTAAGCTCTACCTGCAGTGATCATTCTCAGTCTTTACTGCCATGCGTTTGGATTTCCTTAAAAATTTGCCTCCTGATTTTTTGGGGTGTTTTGGTTCGGGTATTTCTTGTGGTTATGTTAGTAGGCTTTCCTCTTACGTTCATTCCCTGTGTCTGTGTTGTCTCATCTCTGTGTTGTCTGTCTTCTGCTCCTTCGTTCTGTTTCGCTTTATAATTGTGCTTCCTCGTGTGTTTGGTGCTGCTTTTACCTCCTGTCGTTCCTTGTTTGCCCGTGTCTCGGTGCCCTGATTGTGTTCACCTGTGCTGTGTTATCCTCACCCCTCGTGTGTGTGTGTGTGTGTTGGTTTGTCGGTTGCTCGTGCATCGTTTCATGGATGTTCTACCAGTGCCTTTGATTTGTGTAACATTGGAAATGTAATTTTCTGTTCCTAGTTATTTATTCAAGTACTGTTTTGTTTCAAGTGCAAACGTTAGCTTTCAGTTCAATTTATTTTGAATGAAAAGATCTACCGTTGTCCACCTTTCCCTTTGAAGACAGTGAGAAGAGTTAGAAAAAGAAGCAAGGAAACACTTGGGCAATGGCTGGTGATATGGAAACTTTGGTCAGAACAATGAAGAGTTAACATTACAAACAGAGATACAGGTTGTTCCTTAGATATCAGGTCTGAACTCTCTACAGCCATATTTGGTCAAGATCATGACCAAACATTGGCTGTGGGTCATGGACCAGAAATTGAAAGGGAGTGAGGGATTTGATTAATAAACAAAAAAATGTCAGATGAACGAAGCTCAGGTAGTGGAAAAAAAATATTTCTGATTGTGAGACTAAGCCATCAGCGTGCAAGACAAAAGGCACAAAAGAGTGAGGGAGACATGTTACATGAGAGGCATGTACTCAAGACAATGGGACAGAAGATACGTCTGAGCCTAATTCACAATATCCACCCAGTATGAGATGAGGACACAGACGAACAACCAAAGATGTTGTTGCAGATTGGAGCCAAAGCCGATCATTGAAAGACATGGAACCAAAAACAATGGAGAAAGTTGCCAGTGGTATAAAAGTGGGTCACAATTACAGTGAATAGAAGAAATAGCAACACAATTGTTCCACAGCCCAGTTCAACAAAATCTGAAGCAACCATGGACCAATGTGTTGTACAACATCCACGTTGTACCCTTGCCAGCATATCAAACTCTTCACAGCAAGAAAATCAATGGCCAATATTTACACGTCAGTGCAGTTTGTACATTCCCTCCCTGCACTAAATAAAAAATTGACAGACTAGCAGGAAATACAAGAAGAGGGAGAATTGCAAGAGCTCTTCACAAAAACACCCGTTGCTAAAATGATTTCAGGAAACCTAACTTAAGGTCTGAACAAAAATGTTCTTAGCATAATTAATTTGTAGGTCAGAAAAATTAAACGAATTCATGATTTTTTTCAAGGAGATGTACCTCACTCAAAGCATCATGAAGGAATGTGATTTCAAATTTTACAAGATGCCTGCGTATGCACAGCACTTTGAAGTTCACCCCTTTGGTGTACAGCTGTATACTGAAACAGGAATAGGCATAGCTGTGCAACACTTAAGTAAGAAGACCCCACTGATCTAAAACCTACATGGTACAGGTCATGTTGCATCCAGTTCCCAGTCAGACCAAAAGATTTCTTTACTACTCCCTGACTCTTCCTGGAGGTGGTCAGAATGCTCTTCCACTCTCAGTCTGTGAAATGCTGGCAAATGAACACTATATGTTACAGTTGGTTTAAGCTGACCCAGGATCAGACACAAAACACTACAGATGTAGATTAGATAAAATAGTTAGTTGAAAAAGCAATCTGTTGGTGAGGTGGCTGCAAAGGCAGTGGGGCAGAAAGGTAGGTGACGTTGTGGTCTGGGTGTGTTAGCTGAGGTGGCTTGTGGTAAGCTAAGAAGTGGAGAGTGAGCACAGGAAAAACACTGGAAAATGATGACAAACAAGAGGATTTGTTGGCCAAGAGTAGAATACTACAGGAGTGCCGGAATAATCTGGCAACGTGTTGCAAGGGAAGCAGTGCATTTAACCAGGAAAGCTGATTATGTGATTGAGCCCAGGTTGGTTGTTCAGTCAGGTACACAGGATTGTAAGCCATGCCCACAAAACACACACAGAGACAAGCGTCCTTTCTCATTTCCCTATTTTGGGCCTCCTCGATCCCCTTCTTGTGACCTGGAAATCGATCTTAGCACACAATCTTAAAGGACATCTCAATTCCTAAAATGCACCTTGAGGAGTGAGGATCAAGGAGGCTTCCCGGAGGAGCTATAAGTCAGTCATAAGTATTTGCACAAGTCTTTTCAGCAGCCATGATGTTTAAAAGAGGCATGCATGCAACTGGAATATACAACCTATGGTGGGAGCAGGACGCTAGTGTTCTTTTGTATTCAGTTGTATTAGTTTATTAGTTTTAAGAGGACCAAATGTTCAAACTGCATCCTTTAATGAAATTTTACTATGATATGTTTTTATTGAATGTGATGTGTGGATAGGCAGGCCGGGTCATGAAAATGAACAATGAATAATGGGTGGTTGGAATAGGTTGAAGCGTCTCCCCTTTAAGAGAGACGCTGTGTGGATTTATGCACGAGTCTCAGCAGCATTAATATTTAAATCACAGACAGAATCGGTCAGGATATAATGTTCTTCTACACATCCAAGAGGTCTGACACAGGTTCATACTTCATTTATAGTAAAGCATCTAGAGTAATCAGAGTGTCTAAACATGGATGATAGAAGGTGAAAGTTGAGTTTCCTCTGTCCTGTCAAGTTACTGCAGTTTTTTTTGTTTTGCCCCACAATACAATACAATGATGCGACTTTGACGTCACTCTAGAGCAGCTGTTGTCATAGCTCTGCTGTAGATGGAGCCGTAGTGAACAAAGAAGCCATTATTAAACATGTGGCTCTCTTCCTCCTCTACCTTGCTATCATCTGCTCACACATTCACTTTCTTACACCTGAAACCCACCGGGGTCTCAGTCATGACAGCTACAGTTACTCACATAACCACTTCCTCTTAAGTGATTGTGCCTCTAAAATAAAAGCGCAAGAACATATTTTGCAGCAATGCTTCATGTCGAGTTTATTAAGAGCTTTTACTTTGAAGAGTTCTGAAGGACAATTCAAAGACACTCGCGTTTGACACACCCTGAAAAAGCCGTCAGTAAACGTGTTATTGGATTCCCCTAAATTTTCTCAGGGAAATGAAAGTGTCTGTAGGTTTATGAATGCGGATCAAAAGTGCACACACTGCAGCACATGCTTTATGTGAGGATGTTCAAAACTGTCCTTTTATTCAATTTGTTTAACAAGGGAGAAAAAAAATATCCGCAATAAGATAAGAAGATACTTCCATTTTGTTTGACTTTGTTCTGGCCTGCAGGATAACAAAAAATTTGGCCCATTGCCAGACTTACTTGCGGACCCCTGCAGTAGAGAGAGGGGGGAGGGAATGAGTTTGGGGGCAGATGCGTACAGCGTCATAAGCCGTAATGACAAGGACAGAAAGTTGTGAACACTTGTCAAAATTCAGCAGAAATGTGACCTGTGAGAGGACAATGAAAAGGGTTAGCAAGTATGAGCTAACCGGAGCGAACCGGAGCTAAACTCTGTGGCTCTGTTTACTTCTACAAGACAGCGTGCTGTGTGTGACGTGTTATTCTTTAGCGCATGCTGGTCACTGTTGGGCTGCAGATTTTTCACACTGGGAAAAAAAAAAAAAAACATTCGGAATTGAGCATCAAGGCCTGTAGTCTGAACGTAGCCTAAATGCTACTGCCAAGAAACGATCAATAACGTTGATCCATATGATTAAGCAGCCCAAGACAGGATTACAGACCCAGACGTATTACGTCTGCTCACATATCCAGTGATTGTTAATTACTATGTTTTTGGATTGAGTGCATACACTTTGCACAAGTTTAAAAGCTATAGAACAGCTTGGTGCAAGGCCTCCTTGTTCACAAGCTGGTGTTCTGTTGATATTTGCTACCTATCGAGATGTGCTACTTGGCAGTTCTTTGCATGGCTAATTGTTAAGGTTAGGGTTAGACGTTAGCAATTTGCATTAAGGTAGCATTTTTCGATAAGGAAGCATAAATCGTCACAACACCGGCTAACTGCGAGAGCACAGTCGTACTGGCAAAGGTAAGTTGGCAATTCTGTTTTTGGCCAGGTTATTAAACCAAACAAAATGCAAAATTTTCAGCTATGTTATTTTAAAGAGTCATAAGCAGGGGGATTGATCATTTTCAATAAAAAACAATTTGTTATTGAGGACTTGTACCAAGACGATCCCTACACTATCGCCTACACATTCAGAGCGAAGACAGTTTTACACTGATCTTCATAAAACAGGTGGCAAGTCTGTTATACTGAGTGTACTGCCAGATTACTGTGAGGAGTTCAGAGATCCTGTGCAGCCTGTCACATAGTTGAAACCCCTCGACTGTCTACAATGACACCAGGCTTGATGGATGTGATTTATCAGTATTGGAACAGCACTGCCAGGCACTGTAAAAACACGCTGATGTTTCAGAGGCTCAGGCTGAAGAGATTGAAAAGAGGACACGGAAACAGCAGAAATCATTATGGTTTGCTGCTCGAGCAGGCAGGGCCTTGAATATGCATGCTGTTTATGCTACTGATAAAGACACAGGCTCTGTCAACTGTTAAAAGGGTTTGTTATCTAAGGACAGCAACTGTAGCACAGCCGATGTCAATTGGAGCATAACATGTGAGAACAGGCATTGAGAACAAATGTCGGAAAAAACGAGAATACACAATGGCCACGAAGTTGCAACATGTTGGTTTTTTAAGAACCCAGATTTCTCCCAAGTGGGAGCATCACCAAATGGCACAGTGAGTTGCACTTGCTGTGGGAAAGGTTGTGTTGAAGTCAAGTGCCCTTGTTTGTTGATGGGGAGGTAAAATTACACAGTTACAAATATTACACACAGGTCCAAACACAAAAATTTGTGACAGACATTAATTACTGTGATTTTGTGGTTTAGACACTCAAAGACTGTTTACAAAGAACCAAACCCTTAGTTTTGGACGGCATGACTGACGAAGGCATGACAGTTTTTCAGCTCACTGCAAGACACTTCACTCAAGCCTCGTTAGCATCAGTGAGCAACAAAACCTTTGCCTCGAAAAACGATACAGAAAAACAATGGAAGGGAGGGCAGTAACAGAGATAAAGAGCTCTGTTCAAAGAAACTGAAAACACTTTAGTGTCAAAGGTGACATGTGACAATGAAAACCGTAGGGTCCATAAGTTCATCTCAAATGCGTTGGACTTGAGGATGGCCCTGCAGCAGACGATGTTCCAAGTAAATGTACAATTAAGACTGACAAGAGCTGTAACTTAAGTAACTTGTACGTACTTAGTTAAAGTGTCAAGTTTCTGGCCAAAGGCATCTAAACCTTTAAATAAAAAATACATAAGACAATGTTTAACTGTCTATTTACTTGTGCCTTTATTTTATTTTCTGGTAAAGTTCTTAAAAAAAAATACTGTAAAGGTTATTCATGTGTACTTGTGTGTGATATTTATGAAAACCGATCCAGACATGAGGAGGAAAGTCAAGATGAAAAGTGTGTAAGTTGTCAGCTTTCCATTGATTTTTAGCATAAATTGCTGCTAAATGCACCTGTGCCTTATCATTTAATGTTGACACATGTAAAAATGAGGGTTATATTTTAAAAATACAGTTTGATGTTTTTTTGCTCAAGATGTACAGAATATCAAAGCAAATTGTAAATTGAAACAGAAAATAAATCTCATTTGATTCATCAGCTTTGGGAAGCTGTCAACGCCTTTTATACTAACATAGCTAGCTAGTTGTGCTTCAGGCCGTCTCATACGCACGTCGAAGGGTACACTTGCATCATGTACTATGATCAAGTAACGCTTTGTCAGCCTTTCTGACAGTGTCAGTACCTGAAGCCCTGAGATGAGAACAACAGCACCTTGTGGAGCAGATGAATCATAGTGTTCACCATATTACTGACTGTTGCAGTTCTGCACTGAAATAGCTATGCATGGTGCATGTGTGGATAGAGACACTAAATGTACCTACCTACCAACCAAAGTGCTCCACCAACCTTGCCACCCTTTTAAACATGGCCATACCTGGAAGCCCTGTTTCCGTCCTCTCATCTGTCAGCAATGCCACTGAGTATCTGCCTGACCTCTTAACAGGCTCCGATTGCAAGCCGTTATCCCTGCCTGATCTTCACAACTGGGTCCATACTGCTCACTTAGGGGGTCCAGGTTCAGGGTTGGTGTCTGGGTCTGCAGATTCAAGTACTCTGGCATAGCCGCGGTCAGTGGACTTTGAGGGTAAGCTGACTGTGTTGTACTTTGGCCCTTTGTCTATCCCATGAGGAAAATTGCAGCTGATAATTCTACTATTCACATCTGGCTCCCTGCCTGCTCGTCTGCAATTCAAAGATTACATAATGAATACTTAAAACCTGCCAAATAGCCCCCCCTCCCATATTTGAAACACTACTCTACACTACTAATTGCTATAATTTGTGGTAAACAGCCAGCAAAGTTGGTGCTGTGCTTTTGTGTTGTCCATCACTCCATGCCCGTCACATTTAAATTGTTTGTTTGCTACTTACCCTTTCACTGCATGTTTGGTTTGCTGCAGACTCACTGTTATGGTATTGTGGCAGAAACGAGTGGCCTGTCTGCACAAACGCAATTTTCTTTTCTTTTGTCATTTATTAGAATAGCAACACCTGCTCTATTAAGAAAAGATATGTAATGCATATTTAAAAACAAGCATGCGTAATTAAAGGATCAAAATCAAACAGAAAACAAACCCCACATGCAATATACATCCAGTTAATACCAATATTTACAGAGCCAATGTCTGGATATTCAAACACTTAAAAAAATGCATCGCTCCAAACCAGTTCTGTGCATCCAGGACAGTCATATCTAGACACTATCAATATACAGCAAAGTTTTATAACGATATCCAGAACAGCAAGAGTGGGAGGAGAAACACGCCGGGGAGTGTTAGCCTCTTACACAACCTTAGCGAAATGACTCGTTTGACTATAAGAATATAATCCATACGGTCAAACATTTGAAAAATCTATAAAAGCCGCACGTTTACAATTTTTCATTCACGTTAGCGGACGGCTAAACCGGAAGTTAGCCTGCTCGGCCGGCAAAAGTCATAGTGCACACTGTAACGCGATGTAATTGCAGAAAGACGGAGACACTGACGCACAAGTATAAATGCATGGCTACATGCTCAGTGTAATAAATGATTGTATCTGTTTAGTATCTAACTGAACAGTAGCCAAATCTTACTTTAACGTTTAGAAAGTTTAACGTTAACATATCAGCTAACTGACGAGCTGAGCCATTAGGCCTACTTTCCAACTTCACACATTCCATTTTGATTGTCTATATCCAAGAGTGTGTATATAAATCACAAATCCAAACATATAGAATTAACTGCACATCATTTAAATAATAGTAAGCAGATCTATAAATACATATTTGTTCAAATGTAAATACATTAATAGATGAAAGCAGTAACTCAGTCTCAGCTGTTCAGCACAATAATTCCACTTTATGGTGAAACTGAAGTAAATAGATCATATAATAAATTAATAAATAGTGATCAGATTTTTTAAATCAAAATAGCTAAAGTGCAATATATTTTAAACTTTAATCAATATCCAAATTTTAAATTGTGTGAGTGTTTTACTGATGGCCAAATTCTATCTCATGTAAAATGTGTTGAAATTTTACTTTAACCTCTGATTGGCTGCGGGGAGGAAGACTTCTCAAAGCCCCAGCTAAACTCAAAAGAAAATGCTCCTCATCAACTGGCTTGTTATTGAGGGCATTCAGGACACAGCGCTGATACTCAGACATAACTAGCTCAGCCCTTTTTTTCTTCTAGGTGTGCGGGGTGGTGGTTCATCAGGGGAGTCAGGAGATCTGGGCTGTGTGGTGTTGGCCTGGGTTTGGGTCTGGGTCAGGGACTCTGATGAAAGTGCGCTGTCATTTGTTGTTTTTGGGAAAGAAAATGTAAATAACAATAAGGAACAACATGCTGAAAGCATACTATACTATTACCTCCACTGGTGTTACTAGCGACACCAGGGAGAAGAGTCTCTACACTGACATCTTCATCAAATGGCTTATTCTACCTGAAACTGCTACAGGTGTCCCCGTCCTGGATGTACGGCTGCAGGAAGTTGAGGAAGGACATGTAACGCTACTTCTATCTCCGACTGCCCCCTGCTGCCCCGGAATCTGACCTCTTGCTCTCTTTTTTCCCTGTCCTGTATGTGTCCCTCGGGTATTCACATTTTTTATGACATGTTTCCACTGGAATTTGTAAAGACAATATATTGTGAACTTCTATGCTGCAAGCAAGCATTTAAAAAAAGACTCCGAAGCCAGCACAAGTCTGCTGTGAGAAAAAAACTGTTAACTTAATTGTGATCATTGAGATTATTCCAGGAGAAAACTGAAAGTTTATTTCATGCCACATTTTTCTGAAAACCATCATTGTGGGCCGGAGGCTTATCTGTGATCTGTAATTCTGTAATGGGGTTGGTCTGTATGTCTGCGTGTCTCTCTCTACCACATAAGTGTAAAACCAACATTACTGGTTTGATTTACTTCAAGATTGTGTGCTGGGAGTGTTTGTGAAGCAATGCAATTGACAAGAGAAAAATACACTATATTATCTGATAACCCATTATTGTAACCTAAAAAAAATACATCTGAGGTGATTTGAGAGGAGTCAAGCAAGCCAACTAACGTTACAATGTAACCGTTTAGCAGCTTGCCAGCAAAGTAACTTACAGCGGCCATTATTGGTTGTGACCTGATTTAAATTGAACTAACTACTGCTTACCATGGTAGACCCATGTTCCTCCAGGCATTGCCTTTCATATTAAGATTGTGATCTGGGGATGTCATCTGATACAGACATGGATACTCAGATACGACCAATATCAACTTTTCCTCCATTGTTGATGGCCAGTCAATGAGCTAGCGGTTGCTACGGTGTGCTATTTGTCCCACCCTTTCTCTACTGTGATTGGACAGTTGGGACAGTTGGGTAAAAAGTTACTGTGACCAACGCTGTGTTTCACTCAAAATTGAAAATTTTTCAACTCTCTGCCCAGCGCAGAACAGATGCTCAGCACCTCGTCATGCGTTTTTACCATGTTGTGAATTCTCCCATTGCAATGAATTGAAAGATTACACTGACCTCAGAAAGAAATGCTTTGGACACAGGCCATGAGACAGCAGGCAGACTGCTATTAATGGCAGCGCCAGCACCCACCTTTCACTATAAGTGGCCATGCCCCTAATTATGCAGAACTTTAAGGCTTAGTGTAATTTAAACGGCTGGGCTTTAAAAAAATATTCAACCCCCTCACAGTTGTCATGAAGGGGGACATTTGCACACACAAAACCCTTTTTGAACTACGCTCTAAACATGTAATTCTTGGGTATTTTAACATTGAGGTCTATGGAGATTGACTCTTTCTGCAGTCAGCCTCCAGTGGCCAATCGATGAATTGCAGTTTGTTACTTTAGGTAGCCGCATAAAACTACATATTGCCCCTTTAAATTCATTTAATTGAAAGACTGTAAAGCTCTCAGTGCTACAGAGGACAGGAGGGCTCGTCCCCCACAGCGTATGAAATTGGGAAATATTATTTATTCTTACTCAAACCAGCATTACCTGTAGAGTGAATCTCCCTCCTTATATCACACTCTGCTGCTGTATAGAGCTCAAACATCATTGGCATTGGTATGTGAATGGCCAAGTAAATGTGTCAACACAGCACTTTTTGCTATGCAGATTGTCATGTCTGAAAACGAAAAGCCCCATGAATGATCGCCAAACATGTTTCGATTGTCGTCGAATTTTATCAAGCTCATACTGTTAACACATTAAGATGCATTTTGTTCCATCTAAATCAAACAGAGGACATTGTGTGATTGGCTGTAGTACCACACAAAATCAGGAAACAGGGATACAGTCTAAATTAAATGTCTTGCCAAGATAAACAGATGTTTGTGAACTTACAGTCTGTTTTAATTTATACAGCAAACCATAACAGCAATATACTCACAAGGAGAAAGTCTCCAGACTCCCCTCAATAAAAGTTAGGGGAAACTTCAGACTTTGAAATACCTGCAACCAATTTTTAAATAGTTGTGCCTTCTTGTGAATGCAGTGCACTGTAGGACTACCATTGTACAGTGAGTGGGGATCCCAGAGGGTTTTCATGGGCTCCACCTTGCTCACAGATGCCACATGGTGGGTGTTGGTGCACACAACAACTCCTGGGTGTTTGAATTAAAATAGTAATCTACTAAATTAATTTGAATCTGTTTGTAGCAGTTCATCAGGCTTACATGTCTGTAGCTGGAGGGTTGGGTGTAAAAACAATTTGAGCTGTATTCGTGTATGTTGGTTCTTGATGACTTGACTTCATTGAATATAGTAAACATCATACCTGCTTCGCATCTGCATGTTAGAATTTTCTTTACGAGCATATTAGCGTGCTGAATTTATTATTTAGATCAAAGCACCGATGTGCCTCATACAGCCACACAGAGCTGCTGGCATGGCTGTAGACTTTTAGTCTTGATTGATTTAGGAAACACATGCTTAGAAACTTGGAAACTGAATGTGTCTTCTGTTGCTTTATATGAAATCATCTTTATTCTTCTTGTCACCTGTCATATTTTCTGGAGGTTTTTAAAGCCCCCTGTGATATTGCAGGTATACATTTTGCTCTTAGCTGCAGATATACACAACGGCCCTACCCTAAAGTATACTTTCAAAGCATTATCTCAACCGTTGACTGTATATAAGAAATGGACGTAGTCATCGTGACATCACCCGTTGGTTTGTGGACTGCCGTTTTGAAGCCTCGAGTTTGGCCAATAGGGCGCTGCCATGTTGAGATTTTGCAACAAGCAGCGCCGGACGTGGACGAGATGCTGGAGCTAACGGCCGTGTGTGGAGCTAGCTAGCTTACTTAGCTAGGTGCTGTAATTCACGTTAACTGTCATTTTAACAGCGCTGACAGCTTTGTCTAGTGAACAGCCAACTCCTAATACGCTTCTTCAACGGTGCTGGTTACATTTACACAGTGCCATTGTTACGGGTCACTCTAGCCTGATTGACAGGTCGCCATGGTAACAAGTTGTCAATCATGGATAGACCTGCCCTGAAACATACTCTGATTTATGGTCTATTTTCCTCTAAATGGGAGCATAGTTACGAAATGAACATCATGTTGTTTTGAAGAAGAGTGACTGAGACCATAAAATCATTAGGAAAGTGTTTACTGAGGTAATAAACAAGCTGGGAAGTAGGGTCATTTTACATTGGATTCCTGCTTGATCTCAACATTATGTCAACAAAATATACTGTACTTTACATAGCTTCATAAGGTTTCCAGGTATTGTTGTCAGATTCTTTCAATGTCTCACTCAAGTCAAAGGAGATCATACTGGGGTTCTACAACATACTGTTGATAAATAACAACTATGTCAAACAAAAATACTTACAAATATTTGACTTACACACAGCGGTAGAAGACATTTCTTTACATAGCTATAAAAGAATACTGTTCCATAAGTCTGTATCTTATCTATCATTATTAAATCCATTCATACGAACTGTCTTTCAGCTTGCACCTTGTTGTTGTTTTTGCAGGTGACGGGCAATAAACTCAAAATACACAACTAGACCAAAGTTCATTTGACATTTTGGGGGCATTCCTCTGTAGCATTGGCGTTTGCAGCCTTGTTCTGGATCGCTGAGTGGATCTTTCTTAGGTTCTGTCGGACTCTAACAAACTCCATCAACTGGGCCTCCTCTCCTATCTTCTCCTCTTCCTCCTTTTCCATCTGACAAGAGAAAAAGAAAAGCATTGGAACTACATATTCATATAAAGATGGCAAAAAGTATTATGGGCTCACTTTATTTTACAGTACACTAATAAGATGTAATAAATTATAAATTGTATGTATCAAATTAGACGAAAACTAGAAATAATATGTTATTTATTAGACAGTAAACAAACAGTTATATCCTAGACTTAGACACCATACGCCTAAATGATGTTGTAATTAGAATTAGAATATTCGACCCAAAACATACTATACTTACACACTATTATACCAAATTCTACTCTTATTAGAAACCAAATAGGAGATCCTAATACACTACACCATTGTACACGATCATAGTCAAAAATAATGTGATATGAGATCCAAAATATGCTACAGTTAGATGCTGTTCTACCCTTACTACCAAATTATGCTGTAATTGTTGTGAGACACATAATGTACACAGACAGATCTCTATTTAGACAAATGTAAACAGACATTAGTAAACAATTTGTGTTTTCTTAGATTTTCAGTATTTATTTTCGTGCTGTGTTTTCTACATTTGTGTGTTCTGTATTTGGATTTCATTTGAAATGCCGCTTGTTGTTACAGTAGTGATGTATTTCACTGCATAGGATGTTTCTCAATTTGCTACACTTAAATACCGTACTACATGCCAACTAATTGAATTTGTTTTGTTTTTACAAGTTGCAGTGTTCAAGCTGTAAGGCAATTCTTGCCAAAACATGTGATGATGGTAGCCAAATTTCACATGACTGAGATCGACACAGTAACGAGTTAGCTGTCATAATAGATGCAATAATAGTGCAAATGCTTCTTAGGGATGAAAACACCAACATTAAACTCAAATAACATCCTGCACAACAATACAAGGCTAATTCGATTCCAGTCGGACTTGGTGCTCAATAGCAGTGTCTAATGCAGTGTCTACCGTGAGAAAATCTACGTTTAGTAAAGCAGAGCAGCACTTCATGGTAGTAACAGTGCAGTAAACAGAGTGTAGGCAGGATCATGAAAGTATTAAATGGAGCCCTCATAAAGCTGTAAACAGGATTTCTTACCTCAAGTTGTTTCTGCTGACGTCTGAGCAGCACATCCTCCAGAGGAGTCCTGCTCTGTCCCTCCTCTTCCCGGACACTCTGCACCCTCTTCCTCCTCTCCAGCGCCTGCTGAAGTTCTGACCTGCTGCTCAGCGCCAGACCCCTTAGCCCATAGAGGAAGAGATAGAGCTGACATTAGACATGGTGGAAAAGTCAAAGGACAGGTGGTTTATAGACGGTATGACAGGGTCTAGTTTTCCCAAATTTGAAATCACAATTATTCAGTTACAGTACAGTGCACATATAGTGTATCTTTGTCTTTACATCTGTCCTAAATGCACACATCTGCTGGAGTCAATATTATTCTGAGGTTTTCTTATTCTGTCTTTTCCTGATGCAATAATACAAAATAAAATTTTTTAATTCCATTTTCACTCATCCTAGTTCCTTTTATTGGGATGGCATTTAAACTTTTCTGATGCTGTGTGCAGGTTTTATTCAGTATTTTTTTTAAATGTGACCTATGGCCATATGAACATTCTGGTGGAAAGTTTAAATATTCAGTCTGTGGCTTTTTTGCTGGCTCCAATATGTCTGACATAGAATGATAAACAGTGGGAGAGTCTGTACCCAAGACGTGTGTGGCTATCTTTAGTTTTACATAATCTCACAAACTCTGACACCAAATTCTAATTGCAGCATAGCTGATGACTAAGCTGCCATTTTGTTTCTCAATTATTTACGTGGACTTTGTGTTTATGATAACGATTGCTGTTTGGGAGGGAGGTATTATGTGCTGTTTTGCCCAAACCAATCAGTAGCAAATGAGATATCTAACCAGGTGACATCACTGTCAGCTGACAGAGAAACTGCGGAGCAGCTGAAACTTTCCACAATAATCAAACAAATATGTCGTTTTAAGAGCTGGTCTTTTAGCAAGTTAACATTAAACATCCTTTCTTGTCATGAATGTATTGTAATGTATTGTAATGAATCATGAACGTAGTTTGTATGATCCCCATTCTTGATACCGCCCACAACGCTCTGATTTCTCAGTTTTTAATTCAAGCACCTAGCAAGACTATTTGAATCTCGGAACATACGCTAGATGATTCTGTGGTCTGGAACCAGGATAATTACAGGGTAGAGCAGACATAAGATATGCAAAGATAACAGGTTTATGGTGTGGTAAGACAAAATTCCTTTCTCATTCATTTCAATGATGAAGGAGGTGAGATGCATTCACTCCCGGTCACAAATTGACCGAGCTGCGTTTGCCCAGATTCGCAGAGTTCAAAATGATTAAACAGAGCACACACATAATAAATCATGACACTACATTAAATACCAGGAACCAAAATTCCCATGGTAGATTGTTTTTGTTTTTGAAGTGATATTAGGTTCATCATAAACTTGAGCTGTTACAATAGATTAGTGTTTGAGTTCTGCTAAAATGTTTTTCTGGTTACATTGTGTAACCAGGGAGATCAGATTAACAGGCAGCAACACTAAGATTGGTTCACTGAGTGTTATCAGCACAAACCTATGGTTGAGCCAGGTCAGTCCTCCTGTTAACGTATCACTTTACACTGCTTCATGCTCCCAGTGGCCTAAAGGACTGCAGCAGCATGGAGTGAAGGTGTATGATTGCAAGTTTGTAAGAGAAAGAAAGATACTCTCATGCATTCTTAATGACACCTGCTTTAGAGAAGAATGACTGAGAAAGGCATGAGATACATTTTGATGACGGACACATAAGTACATCATTTCTTACCAAAAGCTGAGTAGTTTAATGGTCCTAAATTCATGTCCTCATCTTACAAAGGACTACTGCTTGTTTGTAATTAAATCATATCAGAATTCACCCATTCATATTTTAACGTTTTGGTTGGCCCTGTATGGTACCTACCTCTTGTGGGCCAGTAGCAGTTCCTTGTGAAGCTCATTGTGAGTCCTGGAAGCCTTTATGGGGTTTGACTGACCTGCAGAGCCTTCAGCTTTGACTCCATTATCTGACAGAGAAATCATGTCAAAGACACATCAAAACAGCACTGAATACCTTAACAGATAATGATCAATTTCACCCAGCTGTACAGCAGGAAGAAATGAATGAGACCATGTCAAGCTGCTCATGAATACGGTGGAATCACTGTCAGACAAATTATAAACAAGACACCAGTATTTTCTGAACTTAATTATCAGTAACATACTATTATTAAGAGGGTAATGAGTAATTTGTAATGCCCCTCCCCTGAACGTGCATCCTATTGTATTTAGCAGCTGTGGTTAGCATTGTTTGCTTTGCTTTTAGCTTGGTTGCTAATAACACATTTAGGAGATAAAAATTCCACCTTAAAGGAACATTTTTCTGAAATGCACTTTTTCTGTTAGTGAGATAAGACAATCGGTATTAGTCTCATGTCTGTGCGCTAAGTACGGAGATGTAGAAGACATGGTTAACCTAGCTTAGCCCATAGCTAATCCTAAGTGGAAAAAATGCCTATCAACATGTGTAAAACTCTCTAAATCAGTTGTTCTCAAAGTGGGGTCCGGGTTGCCCAAGGGGTACCCGGAGGATTCCAGGGGGTTCCCAGCAAAAAAGGGGAATCATTTATTTTCAACAGTGACAGAAGGTTTTACTATTTCGGTCATCGGATTCATATACTTTCTGTAATAAAACATCTAAAAGCCAAAATCCTATCAGATGGGAGACCCAGGGACAGAATCTCATCAAATGGAAGTTCGTGGTCTAATTTGTATCAGTTAAGTGGTCTTTCAGGTGAAAAAGTTTAAGAACCACTGCTCTAAATAACACATTTTGTCTCCTTTTTCTCTCTAAAACAAGTGTAGAAATGACAGTTCGTGTTTGTATGGAGAGTTACGTGCTGGAACTATTTCTTGGAGAACAGACAGTCAAAAGACAAAAACTGTGTGCAGCTTCCTAAAGTCTTGTCATCACAGTGAGGTTGCCAAGTTTGGTACAATTATACATTTACAGAGTCACACTTGTGGCTACTCACTGACTGTATCTGGCAATGTGCGCTATAGCCGGAGACGCTTCACAGAAGTAGCCTACTGGGAAGATGGTTACAAGAATAGATCCAGGACTAAACTCCCACTAAAGCCATAAGCTAGTTCTGTTCATGTACAGGTTAAACATGGTTTATGATACCACATCCTGAAATAAACTTAAATTTGAAGAAAGAAACACAGGTATTGACATATAAGGTGTTCAACATAGACACCATTTTCTAATCCTTTCTGTGGGAATGTTTTTAATTATCGTTAATTACACCACAGAGGACTGTCTTGTACAAGTTGCACTGACCTCTTCTGTGATTGCTGTTCTGTGGATGAGTATTGTTTATCATCCTGCTTCTGGAGGCCTGACGGATCTCTATATTTGTGTTATTATTGTTGTTAAGAAATGAACCTTCAAGAGATATGGAGGTCTGAAGTTGAGGTGTATTCAGTAAGAAGCTTGGACCGAGGATGGGATGGTTTGGCCGTTGTGGGAGATAGAAGGAAAGGGCAGCAGAGGTGATTCTCAGTGCATGAAAAGACTCGATGGAGGGCAGCACCTGAGGACCTGGCATGGAGCCGCAGCTCCTGCTGCATGCTGGATAGCTGCTGGGGGGAGAGGGAGCAGCGCGTGATGACAGGGTCAGCATAATGGGAAGAGAGATTGAAATCAGAAAACAGAGCAGACAGAGATACAGTAGTGTGGAAACAGATAGCTTAAGTAGAGATGTATAATTGATCCTGTCAGTGAGCAGGTGTGTTATGTAAATGACTCATCACAGAGCAGATAAGCAACGGTGCAGTGACAGAGATTCAATGGTGTAGGATTACATAACTAGAAAATGCAGAAACTAAGGAAAAACTTGTTGCGTAACAAGTGCCGCACTACTAAGAAGAAAAACACAAATGTCTACACACTAGTAGTTGCATGAATTTACAACGAGCACTGCAGTTGCTCTCTTGGGTAGAGTTTTTTTTTCTTGAAGAGAATTACATTCATAATACTAATTGTTGACATGGAGAAATGTATATATAAATTATGTTCATTTCAATTCAATGGGGCTTTCTTGGCATGAAAACAAAATACATATATAAATATAAAGACAAACATAATGGAAGAAATATGCTATAAAACTATATATAAAGAGATAAGTAAAATAAGATAACAATAATAATAAATGTAGATTTGCAGTTAAAAAATACAAATACAATATTGTTTAATACATACAATGCTAAATTTAATGTTACAGAAATTATAGAAAAGGAGAAACTACACTTCCTACAACACATTACATCCTGATGATTCTGTGATCCTGTGTCTTTATGATGAAATTAAAAAAACACAGGAGGAATGTGACAATTAGAAACAATACCAGCTGCATGTAGCTCTATATGCTAAAGATAATGCAGTAGAATCTAAACGAAAATATATACAGACTTCAGCCCTACCTCTGTTGTACCGGTCCTTCATCAGAGGCTGTTGTCTGAGAACATTAGCCATCGTGTGGAGCTGACGGACAGTGATACTATTGAGTGCACTGTTACTTGAGAGCCCTCAATGTGGCATTCACTTACTGTCCTCATGTTCACAGTCCACAGGAAGACACTGTTTGGAAAGTAAGACTAGCAATTGCAGTGCTTTTACCTGTTTCTACTTCATATACAACATTCATAATATCAATGGTCAATTCTGCAAAACATCCCAGCTGCTGGGATTCTCTTTTGTGCAATTCCATGGGGTGTTATTGAACTATAAAATAATATTAACAATAATACATTTATTTTACAACATATATTTATTTACACATTTTATTTTACATTTTGCATTAAGTCATTTATAACTCCTTTTACTGTGACATACTGGTCACTACTCATAATGACTACCATAAAGCCCGTGGAGGCTGTATAATGTCTCCTTGTCAAGTCAGACAAAATAACATACACATTTCTTTTAGCAAACTGGAGTTGTTCTTTGGAAGGGATGGTCAAAACTTTGCTATTAAGTGACACTGAGGACGTTTAGATCCAATGCTCTTGGAGCTTTGCCCATTGTAGGGACAAAATGTCAGGATATCTTGGCCCTGCTGCATCAGTACTGTGTAATGCATCTTTTGTTAGTCCGCCTATGGAAGTGCAATGCGAAATCAAGTGCTTCTTTAAAAAAGTTTGTCTCTAACTTGGATTTAGTCTATTGTCAGTTTTAAAGTGCTACTACTCACAAATTGCTGCTGACTTAAAAGTTCAGTGTGTAAGTTTTAGTGGCATCTAGTGAGGAGAGTTGTGAATTGCATATGTCCTCTGTGAGCTAGCAGAGAGTTGCCAGTCAAGAAATAAGGTTTCTTTACATTTGATTATTCAGTAAAACCATATGTTATTGTGTTACAACTTGTAAGAGACATCATGTAAGTGTTACATGATGTCTCATTCTCTTGTAATACATTATTTTACTATACTGTAATCTTACTTTGTTACATCTTGGGAGGGTTGGCTCAATCTGGACAAATATACCAAAGTAAATGAAGAACAACTCAAAAACTATCACATCTAGTGCATCAAGTATGGCCACTGACAGGTAACAGGAAAATGTAAGCCTCACTGTTTCTGCACCACAGTCCATTATAAACCACATAATACATGAAGTTTACAAAGGCATTGGCAGGTGACGATCAAGGCTCCTCTCACTTTAGATAAGCAATCTGCAAATCTTACCAAAATGTCTTTTTCAATTTTTAAAAATACAACAGAAACACAAGTAGTCTTGATTGCCATAATTTCAGCTTGTGGTAAAACGGTGCAATGTTTTTAATGGGCATTTAGCATGTGAAAGTAAAAAGTACACATTTGTGTGCACAGTGGCAAAGCACTATCCCCCCCAAAAAACAATTTTTTTTAATGCAAATTCAGAAAGTATTCATTATTGGTCACTTGATAGTCACACAGTCATGTTATGTGTCACTATTAGCAGTAATAGTTGCTTCGTTTAATCCATGTAACTTTACAGCACAGTGTTTCGCAGGGACATTTATTACTGTAGCACATCGTGCTTACGCTGTGAACACGAGGTGATTATAATGGAGCTGTTTGCAAAGCATTTACATTTACTCTTTTAGGTGAGGCTTTTATCCAAAGCGCCAGCTCTGAGTAAAGTGTAATAATGAGTGTGAAATAAAGTCAAGTAAACTCTGGAAATTGGTTTTCCCACAGTCCACAACTAAATAAGACAAGTTAATACATATTTCTCTTTCTGTAGTGAATTACACCTAAAGATTCTAATTTCCAACTTATTCCAATCCTTGTTTAGGGCAATTGACATAGGTGTTTTTAGAGTGCACCTGCAGAGGATGAAAACAAATTGCTGGGTTTTTGAAAGGTTACTCTCTTGATGTTCTCTTTTTGATGTTGTTTACAGAAAGACGGGCATGACCATATACTGTCTAAAAGACGGTGATCACACACACTTTATTGCAACAAAAGGGTGCACTTTATTGAAAATCAAAATAAAGGTGTATTAGAAAGATTTCTCATTTCTTATCAGCATACAAGACAGTACAGCTGTACATGCTAACAAAAAAACAAAGAAGGAAAAACTAAATCAACCCTTATTCTGCTATTCAGCCCAGAGCCCCACATTCCCTCCCGGCTCAGTTTTTCACAGTTGACTTTCTAAACATCAGAGAGGGAACATAGATTTAAAGTTGAGTCCTTGTACTTTTGAAGCTATTCCCAGTCCCTCAGAGTGGATACATGTCTCTCAGTGGCAAAGAATGAGAATTGCAGCAGAAAAATACATCCATAGCACTGATGGACTTCAGGCTACAATGTTGATGAATGACGGACTGCTATGCCAACAATAGAATGCCATGCAAATACCAACAATGGTCAACAGCTTTCTAAATAACTATATTCTGCAGTTATCATTGTCAATATCATTTCCATTCACATTTTTATTACCATATAGAGAAAAGCTCCACTGGACTGGGCCCAGAGA